GGTGAAATCGGCAGAAACTGTGTGCATCTGAAGAGGATACTTTATGGAAATTTTTGAATACTTGATCCAGTATGGCAACACACAATAGAGGAAATTAAGAAAGAACATGTTATTCTGAAAGGAAAGTTTCATCGTAAGTGTAAGATCTTCAATGCTAGTATTTTGGAGAATGGTTCATTAGTGGTATTAAAGAAGTTAATGTCTGATATTGATGAGATATTCCAGGATTTAGAACGTCAATAGTAAATTAATTTCTGGCTTAGGCCCTGGCTTTGAATCAGAGATTGAAATGCATGAACATTATATTGAGGAATTAGACTTTGAGAGAGTAAAGATTCAGTCACTTCTAACAAATGTGTGAGATATGGAAATTAATCGTTCAATGAAGTCCAATGAAGTTAAAGTAAAGGTTAGAGCAGTAGAACCACCCACTTTTAATGGCAACATTCGAGAGTGGCCTACATTTAAACATGACTGAAAGGCTAATGGTAGCTGCACATGGAAAAGATCCATATGTGTTGAGACAGTGTTTGTCAGGAAATGCAGGGGAATTTGTGAGAGGAATCACAGACTATGAAAATATGATTATAAGATTAGGCAGAAATAAAGTCTCTTAAACCTGTTCCAGAAGGTTCGGGGAAGAAGTTTGTGGAATTAGTAAATACCATTGAAAGAGGATGGTTGGATTTAAACAAATTGGGGTTGAGTGATGAGATGAACAACTTAACCAATGTTAGTGCGGTTGAGAAATTGCTACCATTAAATTTGAAGCGTGAGTGCGCTTTATTGAAACAGTCTCTGAACCCAGAGGAATCTATATTCTCTAAGTTGATCGAATTTCTTGTAAGAGAAAGGTATGTAGTACAGTATATTGAAGATGAGAATAGGTCTCATGGGTGCAAAACATTTACGCACCACGCACAGTGTGAAGAAAATATAGATCTGAAGCATGTTCGTGTTGTCAAACAGGTCCAAGCGGATCAAGTGAATTATGAGAAACAAGTTAATGAATTTATGATTAATACAGCAAATGCACTGTCCAACTATAAGGCTCAGTCTGTCCAGTCTGTGGAGCCTAAACCTAACAGTGGGCTCAAATTTGGGTGTTGGTTTCATGGTAGTAATAATCACAAAATTGCCGAATGTTCAGTGTTTATCAAGCTAAGTAGCCAGTCAAAAATGGAAGCATTGCGGAAACATGGAGTTTGTTTTTGTTGTCTACAAATAGGTCACACAAGTAAAAATTGTCCCAATAAGAGATTTTGTGAATTGAAAGGTGATGGAAAGGAAATGTTCCTGTTCTTCATGATTTGTTCAGTCGTAATTGTAACAGTAGACTGTCATCACTCAGGGATTGGCTCACATTACACCATGGGTAGAATAATGTGCAGCAGTTTCTATATAGGTTCAGATTTTATTCAACCTGTAAACAATATATTTCAAAATAACAAATGGCAAATGGCAAGTCAATGAGCACACAAATAATTAATAGGCCAAAACTTTGGAGACGCTCAAAATAAAGGTGATTAAACTTTCATATACAGGAAACCAGCACACAATATTTTCCAAGAAAATTTGCAGCACTAATCTATAATCACAGTTTCAAACACTTACATCATGGCACCTCGCCCCTGAATGATGATGTTCATGCTATACAAGAAATCTCGCCCAATCTCAGTCCTTTCCGTGCCCGTCAGTCATCAGGCTGCACAAAATCAACATAACACCATGTAGCCTTCTATGGAAAATGACAGTTGATTATCCCCAAAACTGAGATTTGAATTTCCTCAATCCACAATAAATCATTATGTCAGGCCACCAAAACTTAGAAATTCATTAATCATATACTCAAGAAATAAAACCAATTCAAATAATGTTCCTACCTCATATCTATGAAACAAAAATTGACAATTTCAACACGTCTTATTCAGAGGCAGCCTTCACGTGTCCCGCTCATTTCAGCTTGTCAACTACGCTTCGTCGTGATAAAAGAAATTTACAATGCGCAACGTCTTCCGTAACTAAACAGTATATCTTCATTAGAACTTAAGTTTGACAATTCTTCGTATACAACTAAATAACAAAATCACAACAATAGATATGTCATACATTGATAATCCTCAAAATTAATACATATTTCTAATATACACAATAATAACATAGGTGCCAATAATATTTACAAAGATGCACACATTCATAATTCCCTATTATTTCCATAATACACTCCCACCCCAAGAGGACAAGAAAAGACAAATTAAACACGACTGGCTTGTTCTTCAATTGGCAAAATCACCACTAATTTACAAGCTAATCTTTACAATGTAGTCACTTGCACCAGTATACTTTAAACCTGGCTTCTGTAATTTATACCTCACACTAACATTACGCACCCAACCATCTCGACCAATTCCTGTGGATACAATTTCGGCTAATTTCCACACTCCTTTGACTGTATTACAGTCTTGTAACAGAACTATATCACCTATTTGCAAATTTCGCTTCTCAGTATGCCATTTTTGGCGCACAATCAAGGTAGGAAAGAAATCCCTTTGCCATTTCTTCCAATAGGATGTTACTATTGCCTGAATGTAATTAATACTCTTTCTAAAATTCCCTGTTTGATCCTAAATTCTTATGGGAGCTTCAATGCTAGATCTGCCGAGATCATTCGGACACAAATACATTCCTAGAGTAATGTCACTTCCAGGTTTAATTCCAATTAGTTGAGAATTCAACAAGTTGGCAACCTCAAAAAATGCCGTCTGAAGGTCACTGAATGTTAGTGTACTTGCTTCAACAGATATACTTAATGCCCTTTTAATCAATTTGATCAAGGACTCACAACATGCATTTTGCCATGGGGCATCTGCTGATTTATTGAAATGCCATGTCATTCCTTGCTCACTACCACATTCAATAATATCAGACTTATTCCACTTTTCCATCATTGATTTCAGTTCTTTGTTTGCAGCCATTAATTGAGTACCCCCATTTGAGTACATTGCCTTTTGGATATCCGCGAACTGAAACAAATCTCTTCATGGTAACTAAAAAACAAGTATCATAACCTTCTACTAAATCTATGTACACAGCTCTACTCATCAGGCAATAAAAACAACTCCGTAAACCTTCCCTTTGGTTCTTCTTTCGACTGTCTTTTATTAAAAAAGGTCCAAATATGTCTACTGCTGTGTTATAAAAAGGGGGAGCAGGCTCAAGTCTTTCATTAGGGAGATCACTCATACATTGTCCTGTAATCTCTCTGTCCAGCTTTCTGCATATTATACACTTTCCTTTAATGGACTTTATCATTCTTCTCGCTCCTGGAACCCAGAATGTAGTCTGAAGCTTCACTAGTGTATTTTCAAGACCCCCATGATTTAAATTGTGTATGTCTTGCATATAAAGAGGTAAATGGATGATTTGACAATAAAAGGATGAGTTGGTTGCGGTTCCAATTACACTGCAACCAAGGTGGCAACCTGCTTCCCACAACAACTCCCTTTTTATTTACTGAAGTTCCCAATTTCCTATATCTCAATTTCCAATTAGGAGGAATGCCTCTCTGTACAATATTTATCCAATAATCTAAAACTTCCTGAATATCACTTGCCTTAATATCTTTAGTCACTTCCAATAAAAATTTATTTCTACATGCCTTTAATATTCTAGCTGTGGTTCTTAGTAGTTTATTGTAACTTCCAAATCTGTTAACGTTAATAATATCATCAAACACATGCACAGCCTTTGTCATGACCTCTCCATATGCTACATCTGGAATTTCAAGACTACTTTCTTGACTTAGAGGCCATTCATTCACAGAAAGAGTCATGTATTTGGGTCCATTTTGCCAAGCTGAGTTCACATCTAACTGTTCAGGTTTAACCGGCCGAGT